AATTTTTTTTGAGCTTAAAATATAAACGAGCCGAACACGAGCTGAGCCTATACTCGCTCGTGTTCGGCCCGTTTACACCCCTACTTAAGTCTTTATTAATAGTTGAAGTTATAAACATAAATAAGAATTTTTTTAAAAGTTGATATATTTTTCCTAATTATATCAAGCATTAATCAATAAATAATATTCTTATTAAAATTCATAAAAAAATTAATGGGACATTTACATGCATAAGCACCCACAGTTCTTATCTATTTGCATATCAAATACTTAAACCTTTTTATTTATATACATATATAACAGTCAATATTACATCAAAAATATCATCATTATTAATTTTTTTAAATTATTATATTTTCTTTTATGTATGAATAAAGAATTAAAATGCTACAAAAATACATATTTAATATTAAATATGAATATATATATATATATATAGATCCCTAAGTCTAGACAGAAATTGCTGAGAAATTGTATGGGATGATATTGGGTCGTGGGCGTCATGAGTATGAGGGAAGGGAATCCCGAGAAAACGAAAATTGAGCTGGCTGAGTAGGCTTTGGGGCACTGGCTGCAGCCTTCCTTAAAAGCCATAAATTCTGTTAAGAAAGCGACAAGAGCGGCGATGCGGGCCGAGAGAGAGAGCAACAGATTCTACGACTACACGTCCTCCTGAAACATCACGGGTTTGAAATTTTAGAAATATATAATTTAGTAGAGCACATTGAAATAATGCTAGGATCTAATATGGTTTCTGACCAGATCTAACACTCAAGAAGGGGAAGAGTATGGTAAAGGAGGGCCCGTCGATAGAAAATTAGAGGACTCACTTATACAATCGGATGCAAATGTTTGAGTCAAAGCACATAAGACTGAAGTTGACGAGTCATGATAGATGACCTAATGACCTGAGTCTGAGTCGTTCAATCATAAACGTGAGAAAGAGAGATCCAAGCCAACCGATAGAGCATGAATTGGCGCCTAGGCGCTCGGAGTAGCACCAGACTTCCGTGCTCTTGGGTTGGATGTCTGGTAACGCAGTTTTGGACGCTTAAGCTCTCAGGATTGTTCGCTAAGTTAACGAGCAGAACACAAATAAAGATTTGTTCTTTCCTGTTCGGCTTGTTTTGGCTCGAGCTCGTTTTGACTCGAAATACTATTAATTCATTATATAGATATCTTTGATGAGTAGTATTTTTAAAAAAATTAATTGACTGCAAGGCTACGAAGATTTATAATCAATTAAAAGTATCATTTTAAAAAATAAAATAAAAAATATTAAATTAGATTCAAATGATGTTTTAATATAAATAATAATTTTTAAATGTTGCCTCAACCCTTAAGATATTATGGCTGTGTGATTAGGGTTCTCAAAATGACTCTTTGTCTGTGAACAGCTTGTGTTTGGCTTGTTTACACCCGTATGACAGTATGAATGAAATGTTGTCCCACAACTCCGAAATGAAGTATTCCAATTTATCATTCACTAGGTAAATCAGTGTCAACTGTCGTTCTAATCCCTAAAACCTAATTTTCCCATAGCCTGTGTAGGAGGACATAGAGACTTCCTTTGGCCATGGGAGGCTCCAGACGAATGTGTGGTGATCTCTAATCATCAAAGTAGGGGCCAAGCACGTCTTACGTCTTGAATGAACCTTCCCGAAGGTAGGTTTTTCAGGTAAGGTTAAATCACTGCCAACCCTAGCTTCTTGCCCCCAAATAAGTGCTATGGAGTCCCAGATGGGTGTCTCTGGCTACCGGATGCTTTTAGGGATACTATAGACTCGATCCATGCAGATGGGCACCCTACGCTCTTGACGTCCAAAAATGATGCCAACATTCATGCAGGTCGAATCTTATTTTTTTTACTTTCCTCATGTACTTTTTAGAGTGCTTAGCAGAGTCTAGTGTTAGAAATAAGGTATGGGCATGAGTTCTATGACGCCAGACGGGCAGAACCATGTGACAAGGACTAGGAGCTGTAGGCTCGTGTCCCATACCTTACTTATAAATCACATTCATGTATAAGATTATTACTAGGTATGTATATGCAGTTGTTGATTGTCTTTTTTTGTTTCTGAGATATATTACTGACCAAGCGGAACCTGACTGTTTATTATTTCATATTTGGCTTGCTTCACTTCATGCAGCGTGCTTGACTTGGCTTCATCCTATATTTCTTGTGGTTTGTCTAGGAATTATGTGCATCACTTAGGCTTTTTAAGGACATAATATTCTAAACTTTCTACAAAAATCTTAATAAAAGATTAAGACTTATCAAAATTTAGGATTAAAACATTCAAAATATTTCAAAATCCGTCTTTACTTTTCTTCATGGCATTCATGTCAGATTTTAAATGGGTTGCATTGCATGAACATCGCCCAAGTTATAATTAATAGGGCCTCCACTCTTAGGATTTATTAGACAACTGCATCATACTTGCATGTTCCGAGAAGTCCTCGTCTTCTCCAACGCAGTAGGTCTGACATAGAATTCTATTGAGGTAGTAGTCTAGCGTGAGGGTGTCAGTGTCTTCCCCAGCCTAGACGGGAAGTTAGTCTTTTGTGGGAGCATTTTTTAGCTTTGTAGCAGGACCTCAGTTTTTTCTTTTCACCCTAGTGGTTTCCTCACTACTTAGGCATGTATAAGTCTAACCTCTACTCTTCCTACCAACATAAGATCATAAAACATAGAGTTCCCTTCTTTTAACCTTAGGGCCACCGTGGTCTCCTTGGATGGCGCAATCAAAGATTGCTTACAAGGGATCCCCGGTTATTTTGGGTCGACTACCTTCATGACCAAGTACACTTAGGGTCCTCATAGCTTGAGATGACATATCCTTGGTATCCTAACTCGGCTATCTCTA